CGAATTTCCATCATCAGCTAAACGTTGGCAATGTATTTTAGGCCTATCATTTGAAAGTGGTTCAGGTTTTTACTTACGATGAGTGCATTTGCAAAGTGATCCTTGACATTCTGCTGGATCTGCCCGTCCTCTCCGATCCATGGCGCCGAATCCTTCCTTTCTGACTGAAACAGCCCCGATAGATTTGCTATACCGTTTGTATCCGGCGTCCACGGAAGTGTGCACTACAGACCTCGCAACACAAGTGACGACGGTATCCACAAAATGTAATAGATTTCTTCTAACGACATGCTTGCTGCATTTGTGCACTATCAGCTGTCATCGATTGCAACCATCTTTTACCAGCAATCAGCTATCACTATCAGCTGCTAATTATTAGATTTTAGCTAGCGGCCGTCGTTACTTAGTTTGTGGGTCTGTAATGCAGCCTTCCCTGGCCGCAGGATTCAAAGATACACTGGGACAATGTCTACAAATTTTGTAGCCATAGAACACAAACCTGTAACCAAGGAAGAATGTAGACGTAGTCATGCGTGTTCAGCTTACTGTTGTGTGCAGCTCTCATGAACTCTTTCGTCATTTCACGTGTCGATGAAAATACACAGATAATCACTAAAAACATGCGTTTTTGGTTGTGCTCAGACCTGTAAATGTTGTTTTCATTTTCTTTAATCAGTGCTGGCTAATTTCCCTGCCTGTCCTGTTACGTTTTTGGAACTTCCCATTAATGAAAAGCCATGCGCTGAATAAGTTGCAGAGTAGAGAATATGGAGGGGAAAATCGGCCCGATCACACCAATGCCGTTCTCTCACGGTGAAGGTGTGGTCAAAATCCGTTTGGAAATAATGTCAGGGTGACCGATAACTCATCTCATAGCTATGAATCTCCTGTTTCCATGCTACTGCAGATTTTGCCAGCCTGCCCACTCATTGAGGGCAAGCGGGGTGTACACCAAGTTTCCTGATACCTCCTCCCACCTCGGCACCATCTTGCTTTCAGACGCAGATTTTAACACTCGAATTTCATCTGGCAGGATGGGGAGACTCGAAATACGGAAGTGGAGTGCAAAACCTCTCTGACAATACCTAACCGTTATATTTCATTTTTTGATTTAATGGCTAGCTGAGGAATCATTAGCAACCTTCTTCAACATTAATTTATTATTTTATTTTATTATAATTTATTTTATTTCAAAATAATTACGCAAAGGTGCCGGTCCGATGGCAATCTTGAGCGAATGTTTTCCACAGAACTCATTATCCCCGTGTCGACTCTGAACAAAAACTGACAAGGGCCTTTTTTGTACTGTGAACAGCGCTACTGAGAGGTATTGGGGGCTGCTTAACAGAACAGCACAAAAGCGAGCGACACCCAAATAACCCGTCGTTGCAGCGACCAGCTGCAGACTAGTACATGGTTCTGGAGCCATTGAAGCGCATTTTTAAACCCTAAGAACTGCTTGATCTCTTCGTTTGTGGACAGCTCTATCTGTTTTTAGGTGGCAATTGCGACGAACACCGGTGTGGCAGCATTCGAACGGGTTTCGGCTTTTGAAGAAGTGTTCCATTTGAGAAGTATCAAAGTTTTAAAGAAGGTACGCCACAAGTTTGCATGTGTCTCCCATAAGTTCGTAACTGCTGCCTGAAAAATCACCCTTCTGGGCAAGTCAAATCCGGAATAGGGGAAGCATGAGCCAGGATGTACGAGGCAGACATGGGGGAGCCATGGAAACTTCGCCCACGGTAGGTGGGGCATTCGTCTAACCATAATTAGCTGATGTGATGGAGATGCCGGCGACAAGGTTGTTCAATTCACTTCTAACAGCAAACTGAGCCGCATCATTGCGCGACACGGGTCAAGATCAGCCTACGAGTGAGTCCTTCCTAAGCAACTTTCTGCGCTCGGTATCGTGCCCAGCTAAACTGGTGCAGAAAAATAACAAAAAGAATCTAAAGAGCAGCTGCCCTGTGGGAGAGCCTTGTTCATTATAAGGGAGAGGTATGGTGCTGCCACAGGCTTGTTTAAATACTCACTGAAATAAGTACTGCAAATAAAATATTTAGGTGATATTTGACGAGTACGCTGATGCCAAAGCCATGGAACAAAGTGGACTACTCAATCAACTCTCTGATAACGCCAGAGGTAATCCTACGTTTTGGT